TAAACAAACCCTCCCCCCCCCCAGCAGCGACAGCGAGGCCCGCGCAGCTGCGGGCCTACCAAGCCCCCCCCACCGCAACGGCTGCGCGGCACCATTTCCAGTGATTGCCCCAAATGTGCAGGGAAATCTCCCTGCCCCCCCAAGTTCCCCCGATGTGCGGATTTAGATATTCGCACGGAGGGGGCATGTTGAGAATTATTATAACTGGATTTACAGAAGTTAAATACTGCAGTGAAGCACAGGTAGCAGGCTAGTACTTTGAATAAACCTTTGTTGGTCTTAAAGGGGCCATGGGACTCCCAACTTTCTTCTGCTGCTTCAGACCAGTACAGCTGCCCCACCTGGTCTGAAAGGTGCCACTGGACTCAGACTTTGTTCTTGTTTTAAAATGGTTATTAAAATGTATACCACCTAAGTTAAAACCTGCTTATACCAGTTTAAGCCAGTTCAGAATAAGCCAGGACAGGTATTTGGGGTGGGTGGGTGAGTGAAGCTGACGGTCAGTAGCTGCCTTACTGAAGAGAGCGGACAACAGGAATAATTTCGTCACTCAATAAGTAATTCAGCTGTGGATGTCGCGGTGGCCCGGGAGCACAGATAACTTGGAAGGGGTCTGAGCAGATTCAAGGGACGCCAAAGGCATTCTTGGCGACTAAAGACAGCCTCCCTAGTCAGGGACGCCCCACCTCTGAATACCAGTGCGAGTGGGTGACATCAGGGCCAGGCCTTGGTCCCGGTGCCCTGTCGATTGGTCTTGGTTGCCAACTGGGACTACATGGACCACTGGCCTGATCCAGAAGAGTATCTCTTGCATTCTTATAAGCAGGGGTCATTTCCTGCGGGAGCGCACAGGAGTGGAGCTCCGGCAGTAAGGAGCCCAGGGGGCGGGCACATGCAACAAGCCCTGCCCCCTGCTCCCAGCAGCTCTCAGTTGGGCCACAAGGAGCAAGAAGCCACCAGGTAAGTTGCAGAGCCCCCAAACACACCTGCCTTCAGGTATAAGCTCTCCCTCCTCTGTGAGGGCAGATCTGCACATCCCCGCCCCATAGCTAGCAATCCCAAACAGTCCAGTGGCACCTTTAAGACCACGTTTTATTCAGGTACAAGCTCTCCCTCCACTTTGAGGGCAGATCTGCACTCCCCCCCCCCATAGCTAGGAATCCAAAATAGTCCAGTGTCACCTTTAAGACCATGTTTTATTCAGGTACAAGCTCTGCCTCCTCTGCGAGGACAGATCTGCACGTCCCCCGTCCCCCCCAGTAGCTAGCAATCCAAAACAGTCCAGTGGACCCTGAGCGGTGGGTGTTTCCTTCTGACACACTTCCGGTGATGTCAGGGGGTGTGGCATATGCAAATAAGTTATGCTAATTAGTTATGCTAATGAGCTCCTGCAGCTCTTTTTCTACAAAACGACCCCTGCTTATCAGCATATCCCAAAGATGCCCGTGCTCATGCTTTGGAGCATCCCCGGAGGGAGGCATTCTAGAGAGCAAGCATCTGTCGGCCGGCACGATAACACCGATTTCTCGCTGACGCTCTTGGGATTTTTGTTTTCCAGTGCAAGAAGAAGCACACCCTGGTGTGCCCAGACTTCTCCAAGAACGGAGTCTGTCCCAAGGGGTCCCAGTGCAAACTGCAGCACCTTCGGCGGAAGGGCCGTGCCTGGCAGACCAGCCCCGGAGACCCCTGCCAACATGAGTGTTCGGCGCCAAAGCAGGCACGCCTTGCGGAGCAGAGAACAGGGTAAGGAGGTGCCACCACCGGGGAGCTGCCATCTTTTCTCCTCTTTCTAAGAGCCAGTTTGGTGTAGTGGTTAGGATGGTAATCTGGGAGAACCAGGTTTGATTCCCCACTCCTCCACATGCAGCCAGCTGGGTGACCTTGGGTCAGTCACAAGTTGTCTCAGAGCTCTCTCATCCTCACCTACCTCACAGGGTGTCTGTTGTGGGGAGAGGAAGGGAAGGAGATTCTAAGCTGCTCTGAGACTTGGCGTGAATGGCGGGGGACAAATTTAACCTCCTCCTCCTCTTCCTCCTTCTCCTCCTTCCAGTGGTTAAATGCGCAGACTCTAATCTGGGAGAACCGGTTTGATTCCCCCACTCCTCCACTCACAGCTGCTGGATGACCTTGGGCAAGCCACAGTTCTGGCACGGCTGTTCTTGAAAAAGAGCAGTTTCTGTCAGAACTCTCTCAGCCCCACCCGCCTCACAGGGTGTCTGTTGTGGGGAGGGGAAGGGAAAGGAGTTTGTGAGCTGCTCTGAGACTCCGAGTGAAGGGTGGGGTATAAATCCAATCTCCTCCTCCTCCTCCTCCTTCTGTTCAAGTGGGTAGCCTTGTTGGTCTGAAGCAAAAGTGTGCATGCACATGAAACTTTATACCCAGGATTAAACTTTGTCGGCCTTAAATGTGCCCACTGGACTCAGACTCTGTTCCAAGTTTTAGATGGTTTGTAGAAAGTCCCGGCTTCTTGGCAGGGGTGGAGTTAAAGTTAGGGGTAGGCCGGGACTGCAGTCTCTTTTTCCATAAACGGCCGTGTTCCCAGCCCAGTCTGCCTTTCTTAATACGGCGCATAAGAGAAGCCAATGCTGGATCAGGCCAGTGGCCCATCCAGTCCAACACTCTGTCTGTCACACAGTGGCCAGAAATACCAGGTGCCATCAGGAGGTCCAGCAGTGGGGCCAGGACACCAGGAGCCCTCCCAGTGTTGCCCCCCTCCAAGCACCAAGAATACAGAGCATCCCTTGCCCCAGACTGAGAGTTATGTCAGGTGGCCCTGTCATTAGTCTGGAATGTGGAGGGGTGCCCTCCCGTTTTCTGTCTCAGCTCTCCCTGGCTCACCAACTGTTTGCTGTCATGCTTGACCTTGTAGATGCTCCAGCTGCAGTTTTCTCGGCTGGGAAAGTTAACGGCTTTTTAGCTTGGCCTGCTTGCTTTGCCCCCGTGCGCGAGATGTATCCATTGGCTTATGCTTACCGGGGGGGATGTTTTGATTCTAGTATAAATCAGAAGCCCTTCTATAGGCAGCCATTCCTGACACAAGCTGTAAATGTGTCTTTAGTACTGGATTTATCAATACACAGTTATCTTCTTATGAAGCCCTGTGTTGAGTAACCTGACTAGGGACCCTGACAAATTGTCTATCTATACCTTGTGGCTAATAGCCACTGATGGACTGCTCCTCCATATGCTTATCCGATTCCCTCTTGAAGCCGTCCATGCTTGTAGCCACCACCACCTGACTTCCACGTGTTCATCACTCTTTGGGTGACGAAGGACTTCTTTTTGTCCGTTCTAACGTGACTGCTCAGCAATTCCATGGAGTGCCCAGGAGTGCCCATGTAAGTCTTTGTCTGCCTCCAGTGGCACCCAGTCTGTTTCTGGGTCCCGTGCAAGGTGCTGGAGTTAAGAACATAAGAACATAAGAGATGCCAATGTGGGATCAGGCCAAAGGCCCATCCAGTCCAACACTCTGTTACACAGTGGCCAGAAATACCAGGTGCCATCAGGAGGTCCAGCAGTGGGGCCAGGACATTAGAAGCCCTCCCACTGTTGACCCCCCCCAAGCACCAAGATGACAGAGCATCCCTTGCCCCAGAGTCCCTATCTATACCTTGTGGCTAATAGCCACTGATGGACCTTTCAGGCTCGACAGTTTGGGACCAGCGTAACGTAAGGATCGCCTCATGCAGTGCAAGCCTGCCAGAGCTCTGTGGTCATCCTCTGAGCCACTCCTTCAGGTGGTCCCGCCTTCTGCGGCGAGATGGATGGGAGGATGAGACCAGGGCCTTCTTGGTGTGGCACCCGGGTTACGGAGCTCTCTCCCCAGAGAAACTGGTCTGTCCCCTTCGGTCACTGTCTTCCACCATACTCCGAAAATCTTGCTGGCTGCTGAGGTCCTACTGGACACAAATCTAGCGGTCTTTCACCAGCGAGTGAAGACTTTTTTTGTTCTGCCTGGCATTCACCTGGGTTCTGGCCACTGCGTGACACAGAGTGTTGGGCTGGATGGGCCATTGGCCTGATCCAACATTGGCTTTTCTTCTGTTCTTATGTCTGGGGCAAGTGATGCTCTGTATTCTTGGTGCTTCGGGGGGGGGGGCAACAGTGGGAGGGCTTCTAGTGTCTTTCACACCACCTACTGCCTGGTCCTTTCAACTGGAGATACCAAGGATTGAACCTGGGACCTTCTGCATGCCAAACAGATGTTCTACCACTGAGCCACACACCCTTTCTATGCCTCTCCGGGGTCTCAGGTGGAGGTCTTTCACACCACGTCCTGCCTGGTCCTTTCAACTGGAGATACCAGGGATTGACCTGGGACCTTCTGCATGCCAAGCAGATACTCCGCCACCGAGCCATTGTGGTCTTTCCCATCACCTCCTGCCTGGTCCTTTTAACTGGAGATGCCAGGGATTGAACGTGGGGCCTTCTGCATGCCCAGCAGGTGCTCTGCCACTGAGCCACATCCCCTCGCCATACATTGCTCACAACCTGTTCTCAGCTGACCAATAAGGTGTCTCTGGGATCCTAAAGTAATACTCATTAGGTAAGAAATAGTAAATGCAGGGCTATTTTTGGGCAGGAACGCACAGGAACGGAGTTCCGGCTGGCTCCCGAGTTGGCCACGCCCAGCAGGAACTCATTAGCATAATAGGCCACACCCAAGAGCAGACACTCATTAGGATTGGCTACATTAGGGGTGTGTGGCCTACCATGCAAAGGAGTTCCTGCTACAAAAAAGCCCTGGGTTTTGACAACAAACAAGGTAAACAGAATAAGAAGCAAAAGGTGGGTGTGGCTGGATGAGCACACTTCTGGGAACATGGGAATGCGGCCTAATAGGCTAATGAGCTGTGCTGTCAGGGGTGTGGCCTAATAGGCTAACGAGTTTCTGCTGTTGGGTGTGGCCTATTATGCTAATGAGTTCCTGCTGGGCTTTTTCTACAAAAAAAGCCCTGAGTAAATTTATTACAGTCATCGACCAGTACACAGTAAAAGAAGTAAAACCCCAAACTTAAAACATTTCTGTTCCCTGTACAGGAATATAATATTTGTAAAATACATAAGTAAACCACTAATAACCCTCAAATATTAAGCGATGTAACTTAAACTACTTATAAAACCATCTCTAATGACTTATCCATATTTCCCTCAGCTTAATTGCCAGCCAGCCATACCTAGCAGTTCTGAAGGTGACATCTCTGTTTCTACCAGCGAGCATTTTCTTGAAGGGGCTTTTTTGATCCTTCCCTGGGAAACTAGAAATCGCTGGCGCTACCAATGCCTCCCGAATCTGTTTATAGATTTTACAGTCAAAAATCTCACGGCTTAATGCCTCCACACTCCCGTCCCCACATGGGCGTAGGCATTCTCCTAAAGGTGTCTTCTTATATTTGCCTTCCGGTACTGCAGTAGGCAGCACATCGTATCTTAGCAGAGTGAAAGCCCTCTTGGTGTTTAACCATGCCGGCCACATGACCACGGAAATGTCTTCGGACAGCGCTGGCTCTTCGGCTTTGAAACGGAGATGAGCACCGCAACCCTAGAGTTGGACTCGACTGGCTATAGAGCAAGGGAACCTTTACCTTTAAACTGTTAACATAAGGCACCAATAAGGGCCTATTGAGGGTGTGCTGGGGTGACCAAATACCTCCAACAGGCCTCCAAGGACAGGGGAGGGAGGCCGGACACCTTCTCCTCCCTCTCTGAGGCTGCCGACCCCGGGGCTGCCTCTCCGCAATGCCAGGGCCTCCCTTGGAGCGCAGTCGAGAAACATTCCAGCTCTCAGCAAAGATTTCTGAAGGCCGGTAAAGCCTGACATATTCCCACAGGGGCCCTCTCCATTTCTGCCTCGGGGTGGGCGTCACACCATGTCCTGTCCCCTACAAGCTGCTAAGTTGTTGCCACCTCGGGAGGGGTTGCTTTTCATCAGCCTCCAGCTTATCTGCTGCTGGAGCTTAGGGGGCAGCTGAGAGCCCACGGAGCGGACAGGCCTCCCCATAAATCTTCTCCTACCGAGGAGGACGAGGAGGACGCTTGCCAAACTGTAGATAAGGCCACTGTAGTCACGTACCTCCTTTGGAACCCGGCCCCGGGGAGATGCAGGGCCAGAGGAGGGGGCTGGGGGGGCGCGGGCACTGCCCGGGTGGACAGCTGAGCTCTCCCAGGTGAGGACCCACTTGGTTGAGTGGGCGTGTGGGCAGCTCCTTCTGTTTCAATGGGGGAAAACCCCTCCCAGTTCTGTGCACCAGCGGATAATGTCTGTGCGCGTATAATTTTGTGACCAGTATAAACGCTCCACGGACACACGAAGCTGCCTTATACTGAATCAGATCAGGGGTCATTTCGTAGAAAAAGAGGTGCAGGAGCTCATTAGCATAACTTATTTGCGTATGCCACACCCCCTGACATCACCGGAAGTATGTCAGAAGACAACACCCACCGCTCAGGCTCCACTGGACTGTTTTGGATTGCTGGCTATTGGGGGGGGGGACATGCAGATCTGTTCTTGCAGAGGAGGGAGAGCTTGTACCTGAATAAACCTTGGTCTTAAAGGTGCCACTGGACCAGTGTTCCCTCTAAGCTGAGTTAGTGTGAGCTAGCTCACAGTTTTTTAGCCTCCGGGTCACATATTTTTGTCCTAGCTCTAGAAGGATGGCTCCAGTGCAAACTAATTTATGCAGTAACCAAATTGCCCGCTCACAACCTTAATGCCATTAGCTCACAAAGTAGAATTTTTGCTC